GTCCTCAGGAGCATTGCTTCTGAGCCTGGCCCTGCCCTCACCTCCCTCTGCCTCCCTAGGCCTGCAGGACCCACAGGCCTCTCTCTGACCCACAGGCTACTCTCCACAGTAAGTCCATCAAGCCCTCCACTCCTTGACTCCTCCAGCCTCATTTACCCTCCCATATTCCCTGCAGGTCTCTCCACCTAGCCTGGGTCCTCTCCCATTCCTTGTCTTGGCTCCCCAGACACCTGGGAAACCACCACTGCTTCCTGATCCTTTGCATCCAGACCAACTCCGTGCCTCCCTGGGTCCCCAGGCTCACTCTGGGCCTGGCCCTGCCCTACCTCCCTCTGCTTCCCTGGGCCTGCACCACCTGCAAGCCTCTTTCCAGGTTGTAGGGGCTGATCTTTCCTCTTCCTGATCCTATGAATCAGGACAAACCCAGCTCCTCAGGGCCGTCCCCAGGAGCCCTTGGGGCTGCTTCCTGCCCCCATATGCCTTTGCATCTCTGGGTGGCACCACCACCAGCTGTCCTAGACCAGCATCTTCCCTGGGCCCTGCTCCCAGGCCAGTCCAACCCCCAAATTCCTGTGGCCAAAATCTTTCCTGGAGGAATCCAGACCTTAGGAGAAAGCCTGAGAGCATCTGATCCTCATCTGACTTGGGCCTCTGTGGGAACTCCTGAAGACAAAAGCAATCTGGCCACTCCAATATAAAATGAAAAGAGAGAACAAGAAGCTTAGACAAACCAGCTTTTCATTCCCAAAAAGTAAACCACAAAGACATACAAAGTTCACAAAAAAAAGCAGACCTAAACTTGAAGGCTTGAGTCTCACACAAGAATCAGACACTACGAAAGAAATCCACATGTCAAAATCACAGAGAAAAAATAAAACATGAAAAAACAATATAACATATCCCCAACAAATACCAATAATCCTCTAGAGGAATACAATGAAAACCCCCTAGAGATAATGCAGGACATGGAACTCAAAAGAACAATTATAAACATGATAAAAGAATTCAGTGAATTTAAAGAACACACAAAAAAAGAAATCAACTGAAGGAAGATAGGGATAAACTTCTGAATGAATTCAGAAAAGAGTTAGAAATATTGAAGACTACTTCTTCTGAAATGAAGAAGGAAGTGAAACACTCAGTAAGCCAATTAGAAATGACAGGAGGAAGCCTCACCAATAGGATGAACGAAATGGAAAACAGAGTATCAAGACTGGAAGATAAAGTGGACAAACAAGACCACTCAAGCAAAGATGAAAAATTGAAAAGCACAAGAATGGAATATGCAGGAATTGTGTGACACCATAAAACGTGGGACACCATGAAAAGACCAAACTTATGAATCATAGGCATACAGGAAGGAGAAGAATCCCAAGATAATGGCATGGACCAGATCTTCAAGAGAAACATAGAAGAAAATTTCCCCAAATTAAAGAAAGACAAGCCCATACAAATACAAGAAGCATATAGAACACCAAATAGACAGGACCAGAAAAGAAACTCTCCACCCCACATCATAGTAAAAAAACTAAACATATGAAACAAAGAGACAATACCAAAAGCTGCAAAAGAGAAACAACAAGTCACATATAAAGGAAAACCCCATAAGGATCACAGCTGACTTTTCAGTGCAAACTATGAAAGCCAGAAGAGCCTGTAACAAAGTATTCCCAATTCTAAATGACCAGAGATGCCAACCCAGGTAACTTTACCCAGGCAAAATGTCTATTATAGTTGAGGGGGAAAGAAAACTCCTCCATGACATAAGTAGGCTGAAAGAATTCATGTCCACAAAACCAGCCCTTCAGAGAGTTCTTGAAGAGTTGAAGAAGGGAACGACTATATACAAGGGGTTATGGAAAGAAACTTAATGAAGCTGTAACTGTGGAAATGCACAAGACACAGACTATATGAATGGATTAAGAAACAAAACCCATCTTTTTGTTGTCTGCAAGAAACTCATCTCACTTTCAAGGACACTATCTTAAAGTGAAAGGATGGAAAAAAATATATACCAAGCAAATGGCACTAAGAATAAAGCAGGCATAGCAATTCTAATATCTGACAAAATAGGCGTTAATCTAAAACTAATCAGAAGAGACAAAGAGGGCCACTTCATTCTGATCAAAGGAACAATGAATCAAGAAGATATTACAATCATGAACACATATTCAACAAACTCTGGTGCACCCAACTTCATAAAAACAATACTACAGGACTTTAAGACCCAGATTAATCCCAACTCATTAACAGTAGGGGACTTCAGTACCCCACTGTCTCCACTAGATAGGTCAACAGGGCAGAGAGTTAATAGAGAGACATCTGAGTTAAACAATACCATATATCAAATGGACTTAACAGTCATCTACAGAGTATTCCACCTAAGCAACAAAGGACATACGTTCTACTCAGCACCCCATGGAACCTTCTCCAAAATCAACCATATGCTGGGGCACAAAACAAACCTCATCAAATACAAAAAGATGGAAATAATTCCATGCATTCTATCAGACCACAATGCAATAAAGCTTACAATCAACACCTGAAGAAGCCCTAATCACCACATGAACACATGGAGATTAAACAACACACTCCTGAATGATGAATTGGTTAAAATAGAAATTAAGAAAGAAATAAAAGCATTCCTGGAACTAAATGAAAAGGACAATACAACACAACAAAACCTCTGGGACATGCTGAAAGCAGTCCTTAGAGGGAAGTTTATACCTTTAATTGCCTACTTCAAAAAATCGGAAAGAAACTTAACATTGCAACTCAACACACTTGAAAAGCAACAG